GGGGAAACATTCTAACTAGGCATGCTTATGCAGCAGGTTCTCGGTCAGAAAGCATAACGGTCGTACATACAAACAAGCAGAATAATAGTATAGATACTTTCCTATATTGTAGATTGAGAGTTGTTGAAGTGTAGGAATTGATGTTTATTTGCAATAGGATTATAGAGAACAAAGGCACTTGTATTCTGTAACCATTGCATTTAGAAAAATTAATTCATGCCAGTGTAGCTGATACAAAAAGAAAAGAAAATATTTCATTGTTTTATCAAACTATGAATGTGTTGTTCCCATGTAATCAGTGAACCATACTTATAAGAAAAGTATACAGGTAAGATATATAAGCTTAAGTAAATCTGTGCTCACAGCACATATGCTTCCATAATTGAAAGCAATTGTCTGTTTATGGTTACTGGTCACCAAAAGTATCAATCATGTGTACATATATCTATAGGATGTTTGGTTTATTGGCAATTTTTAAATTTTCCCAAGATCATATTTTAGTGCACCTAAGAGCATATTGCTGTGAGTTATCTATAAGCAGATCTGGCCTTAGTCACTGTGGGGTCTTATCCAAGAACATAGTGCAGGGACCCTCACAGTATTGTTTGGTAATAACACATTGTGACAGATATTGTATAATAGAATAGTATAGAATGTTTATTATTAAATGAGTCAACTGAATGGTTTTTGTGTTCTTCAGCTTCAAGTTTAAGAATAACTCATAAATATATCTTTGCAAGTCCCCCATAGCAACGAGCCCTAGACAGGTACCTTGCTTATTTTCAGGCCAGTTCTGGCTACAGGTATTTTTAGAAAAATCTAGAATCACTTTACAAACCAATGATACAGTTACTTGGACACCTGTACAAGGTAGGTCATCCCAATCACTGTCTGTTGATTCTGGCTTACCACAATGTGAGGATACCTATTCTGAAAATGAATCTAATGGTTGTAGGTTTAAATGGGTGCCATGTCAGACTTTACAAGGCCCCTCTGTATGCAAGATGTCCAACGAAAGGTGAATTTCACTTTTAGCAAGTCAAAACCAACTTGCTTGCTAAGAATAAATCTCGTGGACCAATGGCAGTGAAGCAATATATATATATATAATACAGATAAATTGTGTTTGTACTTTTCAGCAACATAAAAGGCATATAATCTTTTAGAGCAAATCTGAAACCATATCAAACCCCATTTTCATACTGTAACATGAAGCATAAAGCAGTGGTAAAGTATGGGATGATAGGAATGAGTGTTGGTGGACATACCAAACTCTTACATGTGCATTTCATGGAATGGTATGATGGTAACTACCACCATCCTAATCTAGTCTACATATTTCTTGAAGAAAAAGGGATTTATTGAATAGAGTGGCCTACCTTATCCCTCGACTTTAATCCCATTGTCCCAATCAAGTGCATCCAGACGTTTAATTTGTCTTTGAAAGAGCTGTTTTTGGAAGAGTGGTCAGGGGGTACTTTATGAGCATGTTAATTTTAAGCATGAAACACCTACGCCAGACTGATCTTGAAGTGAAATGTTCATGTACTAGGAACTGCTAACTGACCAATTATTTGTTTTTCTGATCAATTTACAAATCATCAGGTGCCTTATTTGCATACCACGAAACTTGGAAAGTTTATTGAAATCATTTTACAATGGTAGTTTTGGCTTTTCATTGCTAAAATTTTATAAATTTCAATTATTTTCTAATATTTTGTGCAGTGCATTTTCATGCTGTATGTACTTAGGATAAAGCAGCATAAAAGCTCATACATGGGCTTATCTCATAAAATATTTGCTTAAATTTGTGTTTGTTTTACTTAAAGGTTATACTAGAATTTGAAATGTTTTTGTATTATGCTCAGAGAGATAATAGAGTTATCAAAGAGGGTAAATTTGGAATGGACATAGTAAATATTTTTTATGTCATTGTTTGTTAAGGCTAAGTTTTATTGTTATCTAAAGGGTGATCTTATATTGTTGTGTTTTACTCTTTATTCTTGAAACAACCAACAAAGAATAAAGCTTTAAGTTATGGATTGGTTGTTAAAATGAAGATTACTTATTTCATTAAACAGTGAAATATCTGACAATTAACGGGAACATAAATATTAATAAAAATGTATGAACTTGCCATTTTAATACAAATTTAATATTTTAAAATCTTACCATGAAGGAAAAAAATAATATATATATATATGTTTAAAAATTTGACATAAAAATCAGACATTGCTATAAGCTTAGGTTTTTAAACATTTGGTTATTATTTTTATTTTATAAATGGCTTAATTTTTAACTCCTTTTAGCTGTTTTCTGGTGAATACAGCAGACAGAGTCATTAGAGTGTATGAAAGTGGAGAAGTTTTAGCTTGTGGTAGAGATGGAGAGCCAGAACCAATACAAAGGCTTCAAGACTTGGTCAACAAGTATGTTTAAATAAAAGCTTTTATTTCTTTATTTTTTTAGAACTAGTATATTACAAACAATATGGTATATCAATTTTAAACACGTAGTATCATTATAAACAAAACTAAAAATCCTACAAAAACTGAAAAAAAATGGAATACGTTAAATAAACACGTCTTTCTTAGCTGACGTATTAGGGAATTCTACTATGAAGAATACATACTGGAATTTCATATATGTTTTTTTTATTATAGTCTTTTTGACAGAATAGCTTATAACTCATTATGATATTTCTTACCACTTTCAATTTGGAATAACTTATGAGCTCATATATTTTTGTTAAAAGAAAAGTGTACTAAACTCATTAAAAATTAACATATGAAAGTTTTTACTAAAAATAATTTTTACCAGAACCCAACTCAGAAAGAAAACAATGAAATACAAATTATTTATTTATAAAGTGTTGGGGTGTTTAGTTAGTCGACTGAAATTTCTAATAAAGATCTTACCTTACATTGTGCCAAGAAAATGTATATGCTTTTTTTTTTCCCTCTTAATATAGTAGCACAGTGTACCTGAAAAGAAGCTATAAATATGTTAATTGCATTAAGAACAGATTTCTCCCCATTATATACAGAAAATGTATTTCACATTATAATATGTTTCGTGGTGCTAAAGCATGTTTTTAAAATTCTTTGTTTAACCACTCAGGACAATGTGGAAAAAATGCTGTTTCTCTGGAGATGGTGAATTCATCTGTGCTGGTTCAGCAAGGCAACATGCTTTATATATTTGGGAGAAGAGTGTAGGAAACCTGGTGAAAATTCTTCATGGAACAAAAGGAGAATTATTACTAGATGTTGTGGTGAGACTGTTACGATATAAGTATTAAGTTTTGATTGTTTTTGTATCTTGAGATGCTTATATATGCAAATACATACATGACTGGAATAAAAATGTTAAATAGTCGACACTCAAGCTTTAATAAAAAATTGCTGATGTGTTATTTTGGTGTTCATTTAAAATTTTTCAGTCATGAGAGAGCTATAACTGTGACATTGAACCTGTTTGGTTAAGAGTAACTTGTAAGGTGCTGGGTGCTGCTGACTGGCTGCACTCCTGGTCACCCATTTTTTCAACTTAACATGGTTAGGTCTAGGACACTCAGCTTCTTTCGTTTATCTTGTGTGTTGTATAAGATGCCATTTAGCATCAGTAAATACCTTCAACTATTGCTTTACGATTCCTCAAAATTGATGCGAATTAATTTCGCTTTTGTAACATTAATTTACTTGCCCCACAAATGTTCAAATGGCTTAGCATCAGAAATGCTGGCCATTTCATTATCGTGGTGAAATTCATAGCCAGGACTAATTATGTGTTGTCTGTTGGTTACGGACCAGGGTAATGTGGTACTGCTCTTTTCTTTTTTTATGATATCAGTTTTTACTCTCTCTCTCTCACCACTGGAGCAAGCAAATATCTCCACACTATTATAGACTCCCCATCATGTTTCATTGTTTTGTTTAAACCTCTGTTGGTCACGTCTAGTATGAAAACATTCCTAGTTTCCAAAAAGTTTAGTCTTTAGTGAATAGCAAGTTATCCATTGTCTATTTTTGTTACCCTTTGCAAAAATTCACTCATGAAATGTTTTACCTTTTGGCTGCAATTTTTCCAAATATACTATATTTTTAATAAAATGGTAGTACTTTTTTTTCATTAGATTTGGAATTTTGACACATATCCATACTTCAAGTACAATTGTAGATAATTTTAAGACTTAAATTTTCTACTAAATGTGAATGCAGTTTTTATTCATCATCAATTTTTCTCTATCAGATTTTTAATACACTTTAAAAATGACGTTTTTGATATGGCTAATAAAATTTGATAATAAGAGTTTTGATTCTTAATGAAGATCCATACTTTTATTATATTACATTCCTATTGCATTGGACTACATGATAATCTGTTTATCTTCAAAGAAAGGAAAACACCTTTGAAATTATTAAATATTCTAATTTAATTAAAAATACATATGTTATGGTAAGTATAGTGTACACAATGTTTGTTTTAAACTTTAAGTTAGAAACAAATCAGTCAGTTTAGAGTGTGGAAATTCAAGCAGGTATAGTATATAGCATTATATTTTAGTTTGGTTGTGAAAAATTTAAATTCTGATCATATTTGTCTTACACTATTATAAGATTTAAAGCAGTGATTTTCAATTGACGAATAGTCAGATGCACAGTTATGGGCTGCCACTGTCCTGGACAGTTGTGAGTGCCCTAAATTAATGAGTGATCAGCTGCATATGTAAGCCTTTATTACTGTGCCAAATAACTAACTTGGCCTTGACGTGCAAAAGGTTGAGAAACTCTGGTTTAAAGAATGTTGTTTTCTGACCAAATTTAAACATCTTAAATAATCTTTGAAGAACTAAACATTTGATTACTAGTTTATATAATAATTAATATTTCTTTGTTAATTTGTACTGTGTTGTAATAGTTGTTGTCTCCAGTCAATTTCAACAACTATAATCATTTAGGAGTTCTATGAAGATGTTTGTACAATTTTTAAAAATACCTTTGATAAACATGTGTAGTAATTTGTATGTTATTAATAAACTTTCATAACAACAGAATGTATTATAGGAAAAGGTCTTAATTAATGAATTAAGTTTAATAATTTGATTATTAAAGCAAATTTGTCAGTTGTTATTTTTTGTAGTTCATTAAGAATGATTGTAATAATAATTCATGATTGTGTGGCAGCTAAGCATTGGTAGAATTATCGATGTACTGCTGTCTATGATGATGAAGAATGATTATTAAGTTACAACCTGCATTGAAATATTTGTACATGTATATATATATCTTTATGTATGTTTAGTGGCATCCAGTTCGTCCAATCATTGCTTCAATATCCAGTGGTGTGGTCTCTATCTGGGCACAGCCTCAAGTTGTAAGATTCATATATTTTTGCAATAAATAATGGCTTGATGTTTTAGTTAGGTATTTTATTGTGTTTGTGTTATATTTGCATTTTAATATATATATAGTGTTGAATTTAGAAAGATGATATTGAATTAAAATGTTTTAATATCAGGAAAGGTAGCTTTATTAATGATTATAATCTAATTAAAAACACCTTAGGTGTGAAAGAAATAGTGCAGCCAAAACAGGATTGAGCATGTGACTTAGAGGAATGAAATCAAAAATTGGTGGCCAAACTGGTAGCTAATTTATAGCATTGATAAGAATTTTACAGCAAGTATTCATTCATTAGATAGCCAGGCCACATTTTTTGGTCAAGTTAGGACATGATGGTGCATAAAACAAAAATGTGGCCTATCTAACTAATGAATGAATATAAATGCTATAAGTGTAGCTAACGGTTTGGCCACCAATTTTAATTTAATTTCTTTAAGTCGTACACCCAATCCTTTTTTAGCTGCACCTTTTTTTTCATACCTAAGGTGTTTTTCATTAGACTATGACTATTAAGAAAGCCACCATTCCTGATATTAAAACATTTAAATTCAATATCCTCTTTTTAAATTCATGTAAGAAAATGATACTCGATAGTAACTAACATTAGGTTTAGGAACACACCTATACTTTACAGAACAAACCAGATTCTTTAAAATATATATGGTGGTAGTTTTTACTATCTAAAACTGTTAATAACTTTCTTTATAGTAATGCCATGGAATTTAGATTAACAGTTTCTGGTCATCATCTGCATGCACTCGGTTCAGCTGTTTCAAACATCATTATTTACATTAACTGCCTAAGCTAATATCATGTGATGCTAAATGCTCTTTAATTAGGAGAATTTTATAAAATTTAGCAAATTTGTGCTTAAAAGCTGGCAATGAATGATGAATAAAACCATCCACTCATATAATTCTTTTGAAAACCTGAGCTAGAAACTGCTAATCTAGTTAGCTTGGCCTAACCAATATTCTATGTATCTTCATGTGCTTTCACCCTATAGTTTTGTTGTTCTAAGTCAGGCGTCTTTAATCCGAATGACAAAAAAAAACAATAATAAAAACTGTCCACTTTTACTCTTTGGTGAAGCTTCAGTAAAAATTTTAGACTGATAGCTCATGTGACTTTTTGCATAGGCATGTGCAAAAATTTTCGTCAAAATTGAGTGGTTTTTGTTGAATAACTTTGCATGTGTGGCTTATATTTAGACCAAATTTGACATCTAATTATAAGTTGTAAAGATATGTCAGTGTACCAAATTTTGAAAAAATCCATAAAAGTTAAGTATGTTTTTCTATCAAATAAAGTTTCTGTACTTTTGGGGCGAAGAATAAAGCTAGAAAGAACTTCAGTCAAAATTGGAGATTTTATATTTTATGTATGTCTTAATGTATTGCCTTGAAATTTGGTATGTGAAGTAAGGGTCTAGTAGAGAACATCCACTGAAAATATGTGATAGTTTGGATTACCACAGTCCGAGCTACAGAAAGTGGAAAATTTCTAAACTATCACTTCTGTTAATAACACACAGTGTGTGTCCTGCAGGTTGTTTTGGCTGCACAACACACTACCGAGTATATAGATTTTTTGATATACTTTAATGGAATTAATCATGGAAACTAAAAGTAATACACATACAGGACCTACAAACAATGAACAGTTGCAAACGAGATGGTACAAAACATTATTACAAAAATACAAAGGAAAGGTGAGGAAGTTATACAATGCATTAGTACGCTTATGGTTATTGTCTTTCTGAAACATCAATTCCGACCAAATGAGTTATGCACATGAAGGAATAACAAGGGAAATCAAAAGTTGCCTGTACTTGTCAGCAGACAGGGTGCCATCGGTTACCTGTAGATTATTGACACTGTTGGCTGAGGTGTAGCCCCAAACTTATACTTATCCACTGTCACATTTAACTGTAGATGTTATACGTTGAATGTGATACTATTATAACAATTTCCTCTCCACCATTGAACAAATTATTGTTGATATTCATCTGTAGAGAATTAGCATCTTCAGCTTTGCTCATTCCACTGTTTGTAGTCTGTTGCTTATTCAAACCTTTTGGTTTGGATATGTCTTCTTATTAGTAGTGTTTGAGCAACAGCACATCCACGACCTTACTGTTCTTGAGGTAACACAACATTCATAACTGTTAGCAAGGTCATTGGCAAGATGTGTATACTTGACTGTTATTTATCTTCTTCAGCCAAGATTTTGTAATGTGGTCACTTGCTATATGGTTATTCAGTCCTGGATTTCCACTATTACTACTGGACATAGTGAACTGCCTCTATGTTTATAGGATTTAGACTGATTTAATAACTTCTAACTTGTTGGATGACAACCAATCACAGTGTAAACTATCAACACTTCACTGTACTCTGGTACAGTTCATGATAAAGGGGTGGCATTTGCATTTTATACCTGTTTTCCTCACTATTTCCATGGCTATTTTCAGAACTTTGCTTTTGTTTAATATTTGGAAGTTAAGGTCAGTGTTAACATGTGGATCGGTGAGTAAAAATTCTAACATGTAGGTTATAAGTTATTAAATCATTTATTTTTTGAATTAAAAAGGTTAGAATGTAGGACGCGGATTAATCAGGAACATTTGTTAACAAGACTGGTCTAGACTACAAGAGTAACGAAACACTTACTTTTTATTTGAAGACTAATATAATTGAATTTTGGTATTTTAAATTGTATGTGATTTAACTGTAATGTTAAATAATGTTTTGGGCTGACCAAGAGTTATAGACTGGTGATCCAATCAGATGTTTTCATTACATCACAGAAATTATATAAAAGGATAGCTAACTATAAAAAAATGAAGAATAAGTTATTTGTTAATAATTTATTTAATGTTGCGTTAAAAGGAAAATTGGAGTGCTTTTGCTCCAGACTTCAAAGAACTTGATGAAAATGTAGAGTATGAAGAACGTGAAAGTGAATTTGATCAGGAAGATGAAGATCGTAGCCCACAGCTTCATCCAGAAACTCAGGAAGATGATGAGGAGGTTGATGTTGTCACAGTGGAACCAATAGCTGCTTTTTGCAGCAGGTAAGGTTTTAAAATAATCTACATATATAACAGCCAAATGTCTTTCTGTCTGTCATGCTCTGTATCTCTGTATGTGTAACTTATGATGAACTGGTGGTTGATAAGCACTGGCCTATATGACTACCTTAGTATTATTAACTTATTAACTTCTTTATAACTTTTATAAAGTAATTATTAACTAGCTTTTATCTTACCTTTCAGCTTTTAATCTGATGCTGTTTTCAGTAAAGATAAGAGAAGGACTGGTTTCTGCATAGGTTGTGGTCAGGTTCGATCCTGGGTCCTCTTGATATAACACTAGTACTTTATTCAATTATAGAAAAAAAAATTATGTATCAAAATGCTTTTTTTCAAGAATACATTACGGGATTATTATTAATTTTTGCAATTCCTAAACTTTCATACTGATATTAACATTGATTCGCCATTCTCCGTGATTTTACTGTATCATGCCAAATAAATTATTTTGAATATCTCCCCTATGATTTTTTCTTATAGAAATGACAACTGTCAAAAAGTGCTTACTTCTGTAGTGGTTTTTCCTTACTCTCAGTAAAATGATGAGAAATAGTGGCATCCAGTGGAAAAAATCCCTGTGGCTACTTTGTGAACCTGAGCATTCTAATGTGCTGGATATACTTATTGCTTCTAAAAAAACAATGAGTTTTATTCAGTATCCTTTGCTTAAGAACAAATGCAGCTCAATTTTCTTTATTGAAATAACACATGGAAAGACAAAAGATGGTTGTAAACAGCACTAGATAATCATATTGCACATATGCTCTGATCTAAGGGATGTGGTTAATTGCACATTTTATATTTATTCATCACTATTTTGAGGAAATCATTTCAATAGACATCTATGAGTAAATAAATAAAGCTAGAAGAAAAGCATGTATCGCTTTGTTAAAATTGTGGTCATATATTTTTGTATTTTCAATCAAGTGCTGAAATTCAACTGGCTAACAAACAAATTCTAAATTAAAGATCAAAGATAGAATTGAGTCTCATTTGGCTCAGATGTAATGAACATGAGGTAAATTTATGATTAATCAAATTGATTGTCTTATGAGAATAGCTGTACAGAGGATTTAACAACTGCAGGTGTTCAGTACTGCTTGTGCAGTTGATAGATGTTTTGTTTTTTAAGCCAGAAAAAAAAACTGCTGTGACTATCCACAGGGTGCATACACATCCTTGAACTTGAGAATGGAATTTCAAGGGCATGAAAGTGCTTGAAAAGGGGCCTTTTTTTTTACCAAAGTACTTGAAAATATTATAATAGCAGAATATATTGATATATATATATAACTTTAATGCATGTTGCAGAGTTGAGCACAATAAATATTCTTTCTTTTCTTTTTAGTCTACATTCATATGTTGAACAAATAAATAGAAGCTTTATAAAATTTCAGTGGAATCTGATTGATTTTGGTATAGATTTTAGCTACCAAAAAGTGCTTGAAAAGCATTCTGAGAGTGGTTAGAAAGTGCTTGAAATTGATCTGAGCAATTCAGTATGAACCATGTGTTCAAGAAACATTGCTGTTGCAATATTGAAAGAAGTTAAGGTAATGATGTAAATGCAAAAAAATTTAGTAATCTCTGATCTGTCAAAAATATGTCTTTAAGCCTGATTTCAGAAATATGTATCGAAAAACTTGGGTACCCGTCCTTTGTCCGGGTTATGAACTTAAAAAACATTTGTGGTGGATGCTATGATAAATAACACAAAAATCCTAACTTTCACACAATTTATTTATAACATAACACATTATTACCTTACCAAAAGTTTTGTATGAACTTTAATAACTCAAAACATCGTATACACTCTTATGGTCACGGTAACTTTGAAGGAAGAGGTAGCGGCCAAAGTAGTGGTAGTAGGAGTGCTTTCTGTTACCTGCTTTCAACACCCAGCTCTTATGGTTTTTCCACAGTGTGTCACATGATTAATTAATAGATGGTAATTGGCTGCAGAAGTATCTAACAGGCCGAAGTTGAAAGGTCACAGGTCAAAATAGGAAGTTAGTATAACTCAAGAAACAGCTCTTATTGGCTGTTGGAGTAGAAACTTCAGCTGCATTTATGTGTTATTGCAATAATGGTAGCCATTTTGTTTCATTGCATTCCTCTAAAGAGAGTGATAAAGCACTCTATGATATATATACATACATATATATATATACACACATATATATATATATATAAATAAAACATTTATGAGCCCTTCCCACACACTGTGTGTATGTTGTGTTATAGAAAATTTAATAGTTTTTTGTTTTTTCTGGTGTAAGAGTGTGGTGCCATCTATGAATGTAGTTAACTCATATTAAAGATAATAAATGCTCAATATCTGCAACAATGGGGGTTGGAGGGGTTTGTGAACCTCCCAGTAACATGCCCCTTGTTCCAAACTCTCATCCTACAAAGTTTGGTTGAGATTGGCCCCATGACTTCGGAGATGCTAGATAATGGACAAACAGACACAGATATTTTTTATGCTTTATATATATATATATATATATATATATATATAATAATAGCGACAACAAGAATAAAGTAATTGTCTATTTAATTTTTTAAGTTTTACGTAAGTTATTTACTTACTTCCTACTATTATTTCTATACTCCTATTAGTTAGGTATAGTAACTTACCT